TGTAAAAACTTTCTTCTCCACTTAAAAAAGTGGGGAAAAAAAAACAAATATACACAGAAACACAACTGAATTTAAAAACACCAAAAATTTAGGAGTGAACGGAAATGAAGCAGCCCAAAAAATGATTGATTCAAACGAAATAAATGCCACATGATCCTCAATTTGTTCTTACATTTTCAATCAGTTCATTTATGAAATATGCTCGCGTTGCGATGTTCTCTTTGCAAATGACTTTTAAACAGCGCCATCAAAATCGAAAAGCGCTAATCAAAGGAAATTTGAAACAAAAAAAGTGACGCGAATATTTCCCGCTCGGACCGTTAAAACTTCAAGACAGCCACAGAAAAGAATACAGAAAACCATCAGTCACTCTATCCATTCAACATAAAAATTGGATAGAACTATAGGGAGGATGATGCAACCTTCCTATTCTTCATAACGAAGCCTCAAAATGCAAAGGATCAACTTTAGAAATATAAAACTGTGTAGCACTGCTTTTCAAACTCCTATTCCCTTAGTTCTATATAGCGGGAAATATTTCTTAGTTCAAAGAGATGAGAAGGGAAGCAAACAGTTGTGTGCACTCTACAACCCACTGCATTTTTTAATCAGTTTTATGATACATTCATCCACCCGCTTTTCAATAATACATGGAACAAAAAAGACAAGAGAGACCACCAATAAAGCGTTATTTCAGACCCGGACAGTATCTCTCCGCACGCAACGTTTCCAGCTCAAAAAATAAGGGCCTACTTACTTGCATGCAATCTTTTGCCGAATAGTAGTAACAATTGCGCAAGCGTTTTTCGATAGTATTCATATCCATTGGACGCTTGATCACCTTGTGATAATCCTTCAAAAATTCAAGCAGTTATTATTAGTCCCTAACGTGACATACCTGAATCTTTTCAGTCTATTGTTTGAACACAGAAACCATGAACAAACAACAGTAATCAGTATCTCTACACATATTACGAAGAAAAACGTACCGGCAGTCCCAGACGTACAGCATCTACAGGTTTCATAAATGGCCAGGCATGCTTATGACGCATCGCCGGTTTCAGAACTTCCTTCAACATAAATTCCAGTTGATTTGTATGCCGTGTAGGCTTACCTGGCGGTGGGATCACACGCGGTTGTACTACTCCATTAATTGCTTCCTACAAAACTTAAAAAATGTTTGAAAGCTTTAAGAAAATTAACATGATCCGAATGGTTCTTACGCAAGTACTTAAACTACATGCAGACATATTAAGTTCACCAATAAATCGACCTGTCGCGGCGACTCCCAGCCATTTGTTGATAGCGCAGCGGTAGCGACATCCGTAGTACTGTCATCATTATCCCCATCATCAACATGCTGTTCCGATGAATCTCCTCCATTTTGCGACCCCTCAATCTGAATGTTTTCCGCATCCATCATCGATGATTTCTCATCCGACGCAGATGGGTTTTCTGATATTCCCAGAGCGCTGCCACTAGTGGTTACTGGCTCATTACTGCTACTATTCGCATTTGAGGTTGAAGCCGCAGAAACAGACATTTCTGTAAATCCATCAAGAGATAATGCAATGCACATCTCAAGCAAAACAACCCTAAAATCAATGCAAAAAAACAGCGACTACGAGGAACCATATATGATTTAATCCACAGGCCGGAATCCGTCTTTGTGCCTACACATTTCCACATCCAAATTTCTTGCTTTCAAAGTTGATTTACGAGTTTCATTACTTTACGCAACTTGCGTAGTAGCTACATGTTACATATTGTAAAGTATAGAAATACCACAGACACCGAATAATTCTCAAAGCCACACGCGCACCTTTTTTACCACTATGAACGTCTCACGCCCTGATGACTTAATTACGGACATGGCATCAAAACTCGAAAAACGTAAATGCAGGACAGACGCATCAAAAGCTGGCTTTTCAGCAAAACGAAATACCATCTGCACTATAAAATGTCCTCATGTGACATAGAATGGATTGCCGAACTTTTTTCCTCGTGATTCCAAAATACAAACATACTACCAAAGACCACATAGCATTTTTGCGCACGGATTAAACGGAGAAAACTAAGTACATTAAATAATGACAAAAGATCGGATGCTTCGCGAAAGGCTTTCCAAATATTAGTTTTAACCCAAAACGCATGTCACGTGAAACGTGCGACAAATCCTCCGCATGCATTATATTTCCCAACACATATATCGATCGATTTGCAATACTGTCAACACGTCAACGCGCGCACGCACACACGCACGCATCTCTTTAGTATTCGCGACGCACTCGTCTGCAGCACATACAAGAGCACGCCAAAAAGGACGCATGGACAGATCAACAGAGAGCTAACAAAACAATGAACGATGAAAGGGATGCAGAGAAAAAATCGATCATTATTACAGCGATAGCCAACATCACGCACGCATATCAAGGCACATGGCGCATCGCTTGCAGCAGCGCATGGCAACCGAGCAATCGATATCTGGTAGTTTCAGGGACCGTCTCATAAAATGCTCTGCTAATAAAACAATTGGAAAGAAGGAACAGCCCCATCCATTATTTAATTCAACAGATTCCCGTGTAATTTCAATGAATTACGTGTGCATATACAAGTGAAATAGTTCTAATTGGTATTTCAGTTTCCATTACAACATTTATCGTTTTGGACATGTCAGCTATACAGAAGTCGACAATCATGTCAGGATGAGACGTCACGTATTGTTAACGTGAATTGGTAACATAAGCTAGTTCAGATCATATCAAATTTGCAACAAAACTTACGCAAGAATGCGTAAAAACGAAGCGGAAATACACGCGTCGACGCGCGACCAACAGAGAGCAGCCGACTCGACCAGCGATCTGACTGACAATGACTAACCCAACCGCCCAGCTCGCCAACCTCATACTACTCTAATCTGATTGGCTGTTGCCATAACAACTAAATAATACTCAGTTTTGTCATGAACAGCATTTGAGTACGGTATTGCGCTTTTTTAAATTGTAAATCTTTTTGTGGGAAGGAATGATAGCATCGTTTTGTTGCAGGAATATCACAATGAAGCGGAGAAAAGAATGCGATTATTGATGTCATCAAAGAATCTTTTAAACATTAATAACTTTCTTGGAGTTTAAAAGAAAGAAACAGCTTCCTTCAAATCGGAATAAAGCTAAAGGTAGTACTTTAACTTGGTTTCAGCAATTTCTACTCCTTCATTCTCAATCTCTGCTTCCTAATCTTTCAACAATGAATGAATCTACTAAGTATTCTCACTCAACCATTCCATTTTAGAAGAAAGGACTGAAATTTGATTCAAGCAGTAAGCAATTAAGTTTCTAAATGCAATTTAGAGGAACGTTGGTCCTCTAAATTCCATTTAGAAACGTTCTCAAAGCACTATGCAATTTTTAATGATATAATAACTTCCTCATTTCTTTCTGTTACAATACTTTCCACCAATCGTTCACCCCTCCCATTCACAAATGATCGTACTACTCGACGGATTCCCCCACACACGTAATATGAGAGAGAAGGACGGAATATTTTCATGATAATATATCATAGTGATATACTGAGTGCTCTGTACAATAATTCTACATCTCCATGAGTGATTAAGGACGATCGTAACTTTTTTTTTACTATTTTTTCTTTCTAGCCATTTGCTAGACCCAATGTTTGTTGGTATTTCATCGTCATGTTGGAACTGTATGTAATTTTGAAATGTTTCTTACCTCAGTACTATTTGTGGGAAAGATGGCAACGGTGGATAATGTGTTGGTACGCGATGTGCTGAAGATGGAGCGAATCGGGGCACATTCTCATATTCGCGGCCTTGGATTATCCGCAACTTTGGAACCGGAACGAGTTTCTGAGGGTATGGTCGGTCAGATGGAGGCACGTAGAGCTGCTGGAATTATCGTTAAAATGATTCAGGTATTTAGTATTTTTTCTTGTATAATTTCTCATATCATTTTTGTGTGAGTACGCCATATGGGATCGAGCAAACAGATGTTTGACTAATCTGACAAAACTAGATAAGAGGAATGAAAGTCAATAATTGGTAGTTTTTGAAAAAAAAACTGTACTTTCAACAGTTATTGATTGTATAAAATTTAACAGGATAAATGCTTTATTTTAAGGGTGTTGTTTTCAGGATGGCAAAATCTCAGGTCGAGCAGTATTATTGACAGGTGAACCAGGTACAGGAAAAACAGCCATTGCAATGGCCTTGTCACAGGCTCTCGGTGAAGATACTCCATTTGTATCGATAACAGCTTCTGAGGTCTTCTCGATTGAAATGAGCAAGACTGAAGCATTAATGCAAGCATTTCGGAAGGCTATCGGTGTCCGAATAAAAGAAGAAACTGAGGTATATATTTCCTGTTATTATTTTAATTATTTCACGTGTTTCTCCTTTTTGTACAAGGCTTACATTTCATATACAAATCATAAACAATATTCAATCAGAATACTATTAACAGTGTAGAAGTTTCATCTTTTATAATGATCTTTTCTCAATCTTTATTTTAGGTATTAGAAGGTGAAGTTGTAAGCATTGAAATCGATCGACCAGCAACTGGTGGTGGTTCAAAAGTAGGAAGGCTCACAATGAAGACAACCGATATGGAAACAATTTACGATCTTGGCAATAAGATGATTGAAGCATGTATAAAACAGAGAGTTGGGGCTGGCGATGTAGTGCAAATTGATAAAGCTTCAGGTTTTTTTCTATTCTGCTTATGTGGAACTTGAGGAATACTTTATTGATTAGGATGAACATTGAGTCATATTGGAGAGAATCGTCAAGCTTAAAGCTGAGCTTTCTGAAAAATGGATGGGTGTATATATTTGTATATATATGAACTCGATAAATCTTGAGTAGGAAGCATCAGTCGTGAGGATTTGAAATATTAATACTCATTGCGGAACTAGTAATTATGCTGTTGTATTGTAAAAATAAAGTTGAACCTTCGCGTTTCCAGATTTGAAGAAATGCAAACCAACGTAGATTGTTGTAGGTCGTATAACAAAGATTGGTAGATCTTTTTCACGCACTTATGACTACGATGCAGTGGGTCCACAAACGAAATCTGTACGATGCCCTGAAGGTGAAATCCAAAAACGTAAAGAAACTGTTCATACGGTAAGCTCATGATTTTTATCCGTGTTGAGGACCATTACTAGAGTTTATAATACCTGCAAATTGTTTCCTTTTATTCATCTCTGCAATTTCAGCGTAGCCACACTTCATTTCGGAGTTTCTCTGTCTAAAGTTTTTCTCCTTTGTACTGATTTTTAAAGTCTTAACCGATAATAACTGTTGCGAATTTCGATTCGCGAAACTTCAACCATACAAATAAGTAATCAAATAAACTTATTTCTTATTGTAAACAAATGTTCCTAATATCATGACTCATTTAATTAATTCTGCATTCCTTCAAATTATTTCTCATGACATTCTTGTGTTATCTAAATCCACATCTTCGTATTCACACATTTTGGTACGGNATTNNCTTTGTTAGCAACTGCTCGAAATAGCTATCTTAATTCCCATCTTTGTTCAGAAACGTATCTTTATCCATATGCTAATCTTCCATTGTCACAATGCTTA